TCTTTTTAACTTTTGTCTTTTTTCCCCCCCCCCCCTTACATGGCCAAAAACTGGTGACTCTAATTTGTATGTTTGCTCAGTCCCTATTTTGTATATGTATTGTTTGACTATGGAGCTCCTTTTGTTAATTGATGCCTATCTTTTGTGTACTCTGTTTATTAAAATCATGTTAATAAAGGATTTACAAAAAAATCTAAATATACATATATAATTATGTTCACTAACATAGCCTGGATGTGCACTCATAATCCATCAAGATTCACTTCACTTTATTGATCACTTCCACGGTTGGACTTGAGTGCCCAAGAAAGAGAAAACCTAGAAATGTTGATGGCTCATTTTAGGGACCGCTCTGGTTTACCTGATGACAGGATAATATTTTAAAGTGCTAAGCTGTTGAAACCACTAAATAGGACCAGTCAAAGATTTAGTTTCTCTCTGCAATATGTGTATACTCCTGTGTTTAATGCCTATAGCTTCCTACTTCATGATATGGCATCAACTGGTATTTCTAATTCATTTTTTTTTTTTTTATACATAACTGCAGCTGAGCCACACAGTGGTGTCCGCTGTCATCTAAGAAATGTGCTCTTCCTCTGTGGTTTTGTATCTTGTAAGCTGCCAAAACTTACTGATTTGAATAGCCAAGACCTATCCTAAAACTGGGGCTATAACAAAAACTAGGAGAACTAAAGTTGCTATTAGTTGGCAACACTGCCATGGAGAATTTATAGTTGTAATGCAACACGTGATATGTCCTGCAGACTTAGACAAAAGCTAATGCATGAAAACCAATTAAGCAAAATAATATACCATATACAAATTCAGTTGGCATGACACACTAGAAACATAAGCAACAGTTTTTGTGTTTTTGTGTGTGTGTGTGTGTGTGTGTATATACACTGCTCAAAAGAATTAAAGAAACACTTTTTAATCAGAGTATAGCATCAAGTCAGTGATACTCTTGGGATATTGATCAGTTCAGTTAAGTAGCAGAGGGGGTTGTTAATCAGCTTTAGCTGCTTTTGGTGTTAATGAAATTAACAGGTGTACTAGATGGGCAGCAATGAGACAACCTCCAAAACAGGAATGGTTTTACAGGTGGAGGCCACTGGCATTTTTTCCCTTACTCATCTTTTCTTTTTTTGACTAGTTTTGCATTTGGCTAGAGTCAATGTCACTAATGGTAGCATGAGGCGATACCTGGACCCTATAGAGGTTGCACAGGCATGCCAACTCCTCCAGGATGGCACATCAATACGCGCCATTGCCGGAAGGTTTTTTAGTGTCTCCCAGCACAGTCTCAAGAGCATGGAGGTGATTCCAGGACACAGGCAGTTACTCTAGAAGAGCTGGACAGGGCCGTAGTTAACCCATTAGCAGGACCGGTATCTGCTCCTTTGTGCGAGGAACAGGATTAGCACTGCCAGAGCCCTACATTAATGACCTCCAGCAGGCCAGTGGTGTGAATGTCTCGGACTAAACAATCAGAAACAGACTTCATGAGGGTGACCTGAGGGCCCAACGTCCTCTAGTGAGCCCTGTGCTCACTGCCCGTCACCGTGGAGGTCGACTGGCATTTGCCATTGAACACCAGAATTGGCAGGTCCACCACTGGTGCCCTGTGCTTTTCACAGATGAGAGCAGGTTCACCCTGAGCATATGTGACAGACGTGAAAGGGTCTGGAGAAGCCATGGAGAACGGTATGCTGCCAGTAGTATCGTTCAGCATGACTGGTTGGTTTGGTGGTGGATCCATGATGGTCTGGGGGGGCATATCCATGAAGGACACACAGACCTCTACAGGCTAGACAATGGCACCCTGACTGCCATTAGGTATTGGGATGAAATCCTTGGACCCATTGTCAGACCCTACGCTGGTGCAGTGGGTCCTGGGTTCCTCCTGGTGCACGACAATGCCCGGCCCCATGTGGTGAGTATGCAGCCAGTTCCTTGAGGATTAAGGAATTTATACCATTGAATGGCCCCCACGCTCGTCTGACCTGAATCCAATAGAACACCTCTGGGACATTATGTCTCGGTCCATCCGCCGCCGCCAGGTTGCACCTCAGTCTGTTCAGGAGCTCAGTGATGCCCTGGTCCAGATCTGGGAGGAGATACCCCAGGACACCATCCGTAGTCTCATTAGGAGCATGCCCCAACATTGTCGGGCATCCATACAAACGAATGAGTACCATTTTGAGTTGCTGCAATGAAATTTCAGCACAATGGACTAGCCTGCTGCATCATTTGTTCACTATGATTTTTGGGTTGTCTTTGAATTCAGCCCTCTGTAGGTTGATAATTTTTCATTTCCATCAAACGATGTGGCATCCTTTCATAACACAATACCCAGTCCAGTATACAGTAGATATCCAGCATGATATTTTTCCCCATTGAGATCTGATGTGTTTTCAAAGTATTCCTTTTAATTGTTTTCAGCAGCTCGCCTATACATGGTCAAAAATATTGGCACTCCTGCATTTCTGTCAGATAATACACCACTTTGGGCAGAAAATTGTTGCAATTACAAATGTTTAGACATTCTCATGTTTATTTCTCTTGTTTGTATTGGTACTGGTGAGGGGAAAAAAAGCCAAATCTGACACAGTCCACGCAAAACTCCAAAAATGGACTGGACAAAATTATTGGCACCCTCAATTAATATTTGGTAGCACAGCCCTTGGAAAAAATAACGGAAATCAATGGCTTCCTGTAACCATCTGAGTTTCTTACACCTCTCTACAGGAATTTTGAACCACCCTTCTTTCGCCAACTGCTCCAGATCTCTGATTGGAAGGGTTCCTATTCCCAACTGCTGTTTTGAGATCTCTCCACAGGTGCTCTATGGGATTCAGATATGGACTCATTGCTGGCCAGTCGAGTACTCTCCAGCTCCTTGTCAAACGATTTCTGGGTGCTTTATGACTTGTGCTTTGGGTCATTGTCAAGAACCATGATCTCTGACGGAGACCCAACTTTCTGACACTGGGCCCTACAATGCACCCCAGAATTCTTTGGTAGTCTTCAGATTTCATAATGCCATGTACACAGTCAAGACATCCAGTGCCTGAAGAAGCAAAGCAACCCCAAAACAGTGAACCTCCACCATGTTTGACTGTAGGGACTGTATTTTTTTCTTTTAAAGGCCTCATTTATTTTTCTGAAAAAAGTAGAATGATGGGCTTTACCAAAAAGCTGTCATTTTGTTTTGTCAAAAAGCTGGTAAAACAAATCCCAAAACAAAATAAAATAAACATGAGAATGCCTAAAACTATTTTCTATGCAAAGTGCTGCATTATCTGACAGAAATGCAGGGTTGCCAATATTTGTGTGTGTAATAATAAATAATATATTGACGGAAACCAGTCGTAACAAACAACATTCTAGTCAATGGCATTGCTGACCATTTTCATGAAATACTAGTCGCTTGGCTGCCATGCTGCTGCATTATTGCCAACGGTCTTTGGGGCACTGGCCTGGAACAAGTATAGAGATGAGCAAATTTGACACAATTTTACAGCATACATGTTCCACATCACATCCAGGCCACAAGCATTCTTAAAAGGCTAGCGAAGACAGCCCCTGTATGTTTCATGTAAGGGTCTCTTTAGCAGCTTCTTCAGCTTGAATAAAAATTTGATTTTGAGATTTTAGCTGCTTCTCATTTGACATGTTCATTTCTTGAAGCACCAACTCTTGTTTGCCTTACCAATAAACCTATTTTTTGTTATATTGTTTCTGTGTAGGAGCGTGTTTTCTGTGTGGAAGTCTATGATGGAAGGGGCTGTTTTTATAGGACAGGCAAGAGTCACTGCAGCAGACAATTATAGGAACGTCACTGCTGAAGCAGCTAAAACTGTTCGTACTGCGAAGGAGCAACTCCTGAAAAAGGTAAATAATATTATACTGTGTAAAATTATCTAAGTGAATAACTGCTTCAAACATTGTAAGCTGTAAAGGGAAAGTTAAAGCAGGGGGAAAAATAAATAGGAAAAAAATAAATTGTGTGTGTGTATGTATGTATATATGTATGTGTATATATGTATATGCGTGTGTGTGTGTGTACATATATATATATATTATATAAAGACATAACAGTTACAATACAATTCAAGACAAGATGCTAAGAAGGGTACTGCACTGTGTACCGGTAAATGGTGGTGTATTTTACCACGCTGTCCACTGTCTGATGTCCCCACTGCTGCACCGCTGGTATCGATGTCCCCGATGGCAAAGGAAGCCGCCGCTGTAGAAAGCAAGGCTGCGGCGGCGGAGGGAGCAGAGCCGCATTAGCCAATATTCCTCTAGAGCGCCAGTTTCTGTGACTGTCGGAGTGATACCAGGTAACTTTGGATTGTTGTACATGAATAACTTTAGATTGTTGTACATTTTGTTGCACATAAAAAAAAAAATAAGACATCCCCTGAAAATAAAACCTAGTGTGGTTTTTGGGGGCAAAAAAAAATATAAGACAGTGTCTTATTTTCGGGGAAACACGGATGGGCACTGCAGTTATTGTTGATGGGCCAGCTCCGTTATATAACAAAAACTGTGTTCATGACCTGTGCACATTGCACATTTTCACAGATGATACCATGACTACTGTTTTAAGTCTTCAGCACTAAAATGCATTATTTAAAATTAACCTGTACACACTGAAGCTGGTGTGTCTTTCTTTGGTGTATCTCTGTGAACCCAAATTAGTATATGTATGTCAAGTGTTTGGCAACCTGATATAACCATGCTTATTCCAGGGTAGTGACTCGCTAAGCAGTGAATAAGGGTAAGGATAACACTTTTTAAGAGCATGTATCTTCAGAAGTTACAGCATTTTTGTATGTATATACTAGGAAGCTTTTTTATTTTATTGCACATCTTAACTGACTGGCAACTATATTCTCACGAAGCAGGTCAGTGGTGCTGTATATTACAGAGGATATGAAAGTAGCACCTTTGTGAAGTGCAATGTAGCAAATGCATTACAACCTGTAGAATTGCATTGAACATGTTCTATACTTACCAGCAAACAGTGTTGTGGACTGCAACAAGCAAAAGACAGCTAGGTTCCCTGTGAATGGACCCTAATATAAATTGTGGTGATTGCAGAGTATTGAGCAGCTTGTGAAAGTGCAGAATGAATTACTGGAAACTGTGAAAGAAGTCAGCAAAACCAAGAAACGCTATGTCCAAATGGAACGAGTCAGCGAGGTGGCCAAAGAGAAGGCAGCTGACACAGAGACCAGGTGAGACCCTTTAGACAATGACCCTAGTGAATATTAAAGAAGAACTCCAGGTAAAGAATAAACTGTCACTTGCAGTGGGACTACCCCTCGCATTCCAAAGGTTTAAGCGCTAGTTTTATCTTGGGAGGGGGGGCTAAAATAAAGCTGTATTACTCACCTGAACCTTGGACCCACTGGGCTGCTAGACCAGTCCCTGCATTCTCTTCTCCCCTGGCTTCGGCAGTTTAAGAGATTTAGAGTCTATTGGTGTCTAATCAGACAGGTCCCATTTCTCAGACTCGAACTGAGATTTAAGGATCATAAAGACCACAAAGGAAGTGGAATATGTATATGCAGTACATACAAAAAGGAACCAAACCTTTGCAAACTATGCATATAAAGAAGGTTTTAGTACATGAACACACATTTATTCATATTAAGTTGATCTTTGTATCTATGCTTTTTAAAGATAGATTGAGATTGTCAGCGTACAAGCTTTTTGACACTATCTTTAGCCATCTTCAAGGTGTATAGAGTGCAGACAACTGTATAAATGCACAAGGGCAAAGGGGCACTGATGTTACATTAGTTATGCGAGTTGGATTTTTTTTTTAATTGCGGTTTGCTGTTTTTGCGGCAATGCATAGAGACAGATTTGTGTTTCCCTTATCTGCCTTATAGGCAGCAATTGGGAGATCACTAAACAGGTGTATGAACAAATTCTGGATAATCATATTCCCTTGTTCCATGTTTAAACCCTCAGACCAAATATGTTGATAATTGGTTTTGATAGAAAAAAAAATTGCAAATAAAATCTTGCTGTTGTTTATTAGGTTAAAGAAGAGCGATCATAGCATCTTTCACTCCAAGGCCAGCCTGCAAAAGCTCAGTGCCAAGGTATGAATAATATCCCCATCCATAAATAGTTTCCTGGCAGCAGACTAGAGCTGAATACATTGGCTTTACCGATTAGAGCATTCAGACAACTATCATCTTAAAGACCTGAGTGACCTACCAGACAAATTAAGGTGAGGAGTTATGCCAGAAGCCTCAAAACGTACAATACACAGTCAGTTAATGTTTTCATCTGGTACACATCTGTTTAACAACTTGTTATACTTATAACATGAAGTTAACTTAGATTTATGTTCAATATCTGATGACTGGGACTTACAAGACTTGTTTCTTGCCAAAGAAACTAGTGTCCTACACTTGAAACATATAGAGGGTTATTCACGAAGGAGCAGAAGGATTAAGCCGAAGCGCTGCCTGTCAGGCCTGTGCTCAGATTAAGGATCTGGTTAAATTTTTCCCTTCCTTAAAATTCCTACCAAATCTAAATGGCCTGGTGTGACTTTGGGGGGAACCCCATGCATTTTATTTTTTTTCAATTGGGGTGCCTTCTAACATTCCTACCAGACCTAAAGGGTCTGGTATGATTTAAGAGGGACCCCACGCTGTTTGTTTTTTCTCTGTTCTTTTGTGTAAATTGTTTTATTCTGCTTGCAGAATAACAGGCGGCATTCGGCTATTTACTCTCTGTCGTTTAGCCCTTATGAGAATAGGAGCGAATGGCAGCGAGTGAACCGCTCGAGGCTCGGCTCAGCAGATCGAGTCGAATGGCTCTTTCACTTCGGCTCAGCTGAACCGAAGCCAGCCGATATACGGCTCATTTTAGCCAATGTACGGCTAAAAAAACAGCTGTACAGGTCCAACGTTTATAGCCGAACGGCGTTTGACTCACTTCACTTTGGCTCCGTTACTCATCCCACTGCCTTTGGCAGCTTAATTAATAACTTGCATAGTCTCTTTCTCTCTTTATTTCTCTTATCTCGCTCTCTCGATTTTTGCTTTGCTGGCTTTGGAAGTCTGAAGTTGCCACTTCAGAGCGCAGTAAGTCTGAACAGTAGTTGTAAAAAACAAAACAAAAAAAAGAGGGAGGTGAGTCTGCTCACATGACCTGTCTTATGACCGTCTCTCCTCCAATTGGTAAGCTTTCTCTGCTACATTAGGCAGAGAACACAGTTGCACATTGCATGTTACATTTTATGAATGATCCACTAAATGCTTGCCACATATATACGCTATGCATTATAATTGACCTCCTGGGTATGTGCTTGCACAACAGTGCCTGCATTTGAATAAAGTTGGCAGTTGATATCTTTATGGAGGACAGCCAAAACTCCAAAGTGGGCAGAAAGATCTCACCAGTGACACCCTCTAGGGGGGATTATTGGCCAGAGTACTATTTTAGTTAGACTGAACCCATCATTCCTTTATCATTCAAAGCATTCCGATACTACTGTTAATCGCGGTAAACGAGGATACATTCCCAACATAGTTGTATCCACTTCAAACTCCAGTCTTGTTTTCTCTAGCAACCATAACTTTTGCATTTAATTATTTTTCATTATAATCCACTTCTGTAGGGCATACTGTCTGCATTATATTGTTTAATCTCATGTTTTGCCCATGGATGACATTACATTTTCTCTGCTGTAGTTTTCCACACAGCTGGTGGTCTGTACGCAACAATTATCAGAAGCACGGAATGAGTATCTCTTGTCTTTGGCTGCCGCTAATGCCCATCTTGATCTTTACTACTTGACACACTTGCCGGAGATCATGAAGGTGAGTTAAGTGCACAACTGGGCTGTCTTTGCTTTTTTCCCCATATAAGGAAAGTGTATAAATTGTGGTCACTGTGGTTTGTGCAAATAAGTATTTGGCAATGCTTTGCAGTTTGGAATGTCTGACTTGGATGTAAAAATATTTTACTGTGAAACCTGTGAGACGTTTTAAACAGTTAAGGGGAGATTCCATGGTGTACCTGCTATTATGTGTATAAGGCAGAAGAGTTTCTTCATCTCTCTGATCCTGTTTTGCTTTGTTTTTAAGGCCTCATTTACGTGGTACATTTACTAATGTCCTCCTGTGACCCAAAGACTGCAGATAGCAGACTAATGGCCGTTATCCGCTGACGCGCAAAGCCATGCCACAGCAGTGGTTACATGACCGCTCAGCTCTTGGTCTTAACCAGCATGAGGTAGCTACAATGCAATGCCCCATGCTGGCTCTATTCAGCGGTGAGAACATCTTTTACTCTCCCTGCACTTTCTCCTTTAACACTTTAAATTGCAAAGGGTTCCTTCCACTACAGATAAGGAGATAAACATTGGTATGTCCCATTCCTTGACTCTTCAGAAAGTCTTTTTTATTTTCGTAATCAATATAGAACTCTTGCAGGATTGCCTTCCCAAAGTTTCTTTACATGTGCTCTAATTTTGTTTTAACCTTGACTTTGAATAACTGTTGCGAGTCATTGTATTCGTTCTATCACGACATTAGCCAAATTCTGTCTGAAATGTATGATTACTTTTAGATGAAGATTGTCATTTAGAATACATTGCTGTGCTATAAACCTGATGTTAAGGATTTTATGAATGGAGCGAATACCAGCTCCTAATTTCCAAAAGTGGAGCACTTTGGCAAAGAACGGAATTATGGGGGCTATGATGGTATAACCTATTTATCCTGCAGGACATGTGGTTGTGCCCCCTCCTCTCCAGGGAAACTTTAGTAAAATATTTTACAAACCGTGTTTAGCTATAGTGATATATAGTAAACATACACAAAGTACTATGCAGGTCAGTGAAGGCAATGATATAGCGATGGATGCCCAGACCTAAATCCCAGTTTAAACTTCTTATACTACTGTAATGCAGTCAGACTTTTAAAACTTTGGGCTGCTTTTATTTTTACAGTACTTTTTGCTGCAGCAGTGAGTAAAATACCCTGTGCTAGCAGCACCCTAGAAAGTGGGACTGTTGCTTAACACTGAACGCAGCAGTTTGGTGGACCTTTGCCCAGTGTTCTGACCAATAACACTCGCATCCCTGAGCAATGGACAAGTGGCATGTTGAGACCACTGAAGACCCTGATGACTGCTTTCTTTGTTGCAGGTTATTTTAACCCTTACTGCAGCAATTAGTAATGTTCATTTAAAAAAAAAAAAAAGCTTACCATTCTTACTGTAGCCTAATTGTATGGTAGAAATCTAAAAAGCTTCAGTTTGGGTTTGAACACTATATATTTTGGCAACGTTTAATATCCAATTGCCAGTTTCTGAATTTAATAGATTAGGGTGGGGGTTGGGGGATGTTTTTTGTTCATTGCAGTACAAAGGAAGCTTTAAAACTTTGAGCTATATCACTGCCTATTGGGGGATTGGACACTGGCAAACAAAAAACAAAAAAGACATAGGCCAGCCCAGGTTAACCCCTCCTACTACCAGCATGCCTCAGTTTTTTTTATTAGTGTCTTAGGAGGATGGGCATATTTTCTTCAGCTCTGATGTGTTAAAGGACCTATTATTTATTTATTTTTAAATTCAATCAAGCCTCTCCTCTACATTGCTTTGGGATTTTGTGTCTCTGATTGCAGCTATCTGAAGAGGTTGTCCTCATCCTGGCTTTTGAAATACTGCATCCAGACCAGGCTTGACTAAGCGTTTCGGAGATAGCCTGCAAATGATCACCTTGCCCTAGGTTTTGCATTGGAGTGCTTTCCAGACTCCTTGTTTTGGTAAAAGTTAGCTGCAGAGCACTTTCCAGGTCCAGAGCCATTGGCATTGCCTTAGCGCTTGCCCTGCCTCTGAAGACTCACTTACGGAGTAGACCATTTGAGAAAAGTACTGGAAACTACCTTATCTACATAGGTCACTGGGCCCAGTTATTCCCAGTTTCCATTGTTTTCGCTGCAGAAGGGGTTAATGTGTGTGATTGCTGTTGCCATACACTAGGTGGAGTGTGTCGCTCTTTCCCACCATACAACATGGAGATAGCAGCATCTCTCTGCTGCTGCTTCAGCTTTCAAGAATCATGTGGAACTTCAATCTTTGATTTGCTACCCTCGTACAGTAACTTTGGTCACCTCTAGTTGTCCAACCCTTACCTGCTACCAGTTTTCTGGGCTTTCTTGAGTACCTGAGGCCCTGCCTCCTAACCTGAGCCTACACATTGCCTTACCACCATACAGTCACAACATGTCTGTTTCTTCACATGGAGGAAACAGTTATGTTGTTCCAGGTGCCCCCAATTTCTTCGAATGGCTCCAGGTCCACTTGCAGCATGTCTGCTTACGGTTCCAACATCTGCAGCCTGGATGTTACCCTTGGAATCTATTCCATCATTTGATTCCTCTTTAGCTCTGTTGGGTGTGCCGACATCCTCTGCCCTTTTTCCACTGAATTTTTTTGTCATGATCATGCAAGACTTTATGGTCCAAATCACGGTTTGCTGACTCTGATTACAGATGCCACAAACATGCTTCTGGGCCCTTTCCAGCTGATTGTATTTGTGATCGCTGTAAGGCCCAAAACTAATCTGATTCGGAGTTGCTCCAGCTTTTAACTGAGGAGTTTTTATCTCTAGGGAGATCGCAGTCTACTGCCATCACTCCCAAATTGAAGGAGACCATATTGATCTGTAGTGCAATCTATTGGTGCTAGAAGATCTGTCATTGTCTTCCTTAACCATGAAGACTTGTCTGCCTTCTGTGAACATCGAGGATGCTTACGTACAGGTCCCTAACTTTTCAGTACATCAGCCAATACTGCATTTTGCAGGGCGGCCATAAATTACCAGTTTGTGGCCCTGCCCCTTGGTCTTTCATCTGCACTTTGGGTGTTCACCAAGGTGCTGGCCCCAAAATTGACCCTGCTGTACACCCATGGTATTTCCATTGCAGGTGAACAGTCCAGAGTGTCTTTGGATCAGGTAGGAATTTTCCCTATTGGAAAAAAATGAAACCATGCGTTATACGGTTTATTTGCCTTCCTGGTGATCAACTGTGGGTAGCTGTCGGCATAGCATTCTGTTTTAGGTTTTTCTTCTTTCTTTCTTTTTTTTACTTCTTTGTCTCTAGGTTGCACTCGATGGACTTTGTCTTTTTCAACCTCACTAACTATGTAAAAAGTGACAGAAGGACCTTAATTGGCTGGTGTGGGGAAAACACCTGTTTTCTCCTACTTTTTCTGCCAAAAATACTATAATTCTGCAAATCACTGTATTGCTCAGTTGATAGGTTTGGTGCATTTGTAGTGGCCCTGCCTTAAAATATTAGTCATTGATGTGTTCCATATAGTACGCCTTATCTGGCAATATTCATGTTTGATTTTTGGAAACGACTGGAGACAAAGAATTGACTAGGCCATTTTAATCAATGAAGAGAGGATTTTCATTTACTCATTCCCCAGAAGAATACTCTGATTACAAAAAGCTGTTTTAATGCCCATCTTTTATGATCTGTGTAATGGATGTAGTCACAAATAAACTTGGCATTATTGATTTGACTTTTATCAATATTTAGAATCTATATACAAAAATGGAAAGACGCCAGTGTCAAGACTTTTGTTGTTTTCAAAAGAACAATGTGCAGCGTTCAATGTTTTTACTGGTCATTTTCTGGTGGGGGTTGGTGGTTGCAGATATCCTGTAAGAGGATGCTCTTTTTGTATATTTAAAGGCAATCTACAATTTGTGGGTTGTGGATTTAAAAAAAAAAAAAAATTTAAAGGGCCTGTTGTCTCTTATTCTCATACTTCATGCTGTTTAAATGTCATGTCACACCAGGATTGATCACTGGGAGCAACCACTCACCTGCTGGCATTGCTCCCTCAATGTACAGCAAGTGTCTGTGGTGTTGACGCTATAGTAGCAGGTGAGTAGCTTTTTTTAGTAATCATTTTGCTGGCAAGTTGCCCACAGACAGAAGATTGCTACTGTGACATGACATTAAGGACACTTTTTTCCTTGTCCTTTTGCATTATTAGTATAAAAAATCCCAACACTCCCTTGTTTTGACAGCAATGGATGATTGGAGCTGTGCACTGAACTGCAGAGATCTCCCACTAACATTGCTTACATTTCCAGTGGATGATTTTGACTGTCATTTGCTACCTGAATTTGAAATAAGTTGTTTGAGAGGATTTACTTTTTAAAGGATTAGCAGACCTAATATGACAGCAGGATTGGACCATGCTCTATTGTCTATGGGAGTCGGGAGACATTGCTGGCCATTAAGCCTTGGTGATGGTGGGGGCAGTTCACTGGATGACTTGGAAAACCTGTTTCGATCACTATGGTTTCAGATTGTTCCATTGACATCAAGGTATGCACTTTGCAGATTGCTTTAAACATTTATGCTTGATCCTGCAAAGACTTTTGCTTAAAATTAACCTGTAGCCAGGCTGCAGAGATTCAAGTATTTACAATTAACAAGTAGCTCACCACCCCTTGCTCCTCCTCTCCTGCAGTTCCCAGACTGCGTTTCTATTTGAGATTAGAAGACTGAAAGGCTGGTAAGTCACTGCTGGAGGACCTAAGCTGCTGAATCTCTTCTGGGAGCAGGGGGAGCTTTAAAGGATGAATTCTCCCCAGTGCCTGCAGTCAGAGGTCAGTGAGGGTGTTTTAGACCCCTTTTACATTTTTGACTTGCGGTAACGCAGGTGGTTCTGCATTACCGCACCATTTACACGTTGCAGTGCCACTAAAATTGAATGGTACATAAACTCATTAACCTCTTGCCGTCCGCCCGTTAAGAAAAAACGGACGGACGGCAGACTCGCATCCGCGGGTTGCCGTCGCCAGACGGCATTTTTTTCCTGCGCGCGCACGGGTAGGAAAGACCCGCTCGTTACTACAGCCGTTAACGGCTATAGAGCCGCTGATCGGTTGTATGGCGTGCATTTCGGAGCGCCCCCCCCAATCGAGTGCCGCCATCTCCCCCCTCATGACCCCTTACCTTTAATCCCGGGATCCGCTAGCCCATCTGCGGCCCGGGACCGGCTCGGGAGGGCGTCAGGAGGAGGAGGGAGGGAGTCAGCTCCTTGCTGATCTCCGTCTGTAGTGTGAATGCAGAAGTGATGTGTATTACATCACTTCCGCATTCACCTGTCAGTCATCTGGCTCCTACTGCCAGAGAGAAGAAGCTGATGAAGCAAATCTGTGCTTCATCAGCTTCTTTTGGGGTCTCCAGGTGACATTAGGGGTCATTAACACCGCGGATGTCAACTGGTTAAAGCAATTTGTGTAGCACTGTGCCGCAACACACCACTGTATGTTGTAGTGTACTGCGTTCCCAAAAAAGGATCATATGAGGTTTCCTGTGTGCTTTGGAGAGGTGGCCGCTCATTCAGAATGAATGGCCTGACTTAACTCCACACACTTTAATGGGTTAACATAACATGAGTTAAAAGCACTGCAGAGGTGTGAAGCTAGCATTAAAGAAAAAGTGCACTTTTACACAAGGTGCAATTATTCCTTTTGCCCACCTTAAGTGACCTAAACAATCCTACCTTTGCCATCTACAGATCTATACTTACCGAAATCCAAGGGCTGTTGCCCTGTTCATGACATCCAGTGCTGCATGTCTCCCTCTCTTGGCCGTGTCCTCCAATCTGGGAGACGGTCCCATAGAAGTCTATCGGATTGTAATGCACATGTGTGGCCAGCAGAGAGATTATTACCGCGCTGGATGTAAACAATTACGGAACCGTGCCAGGGGCATCTCGGTAAGTATGGATCTCTGGATGGAGAGGGTGGAATCTTTTAGGTCAGGGGTGTGGGGCAAAAAGATTACTTGCACTTTCTTTTAAAGTGTATATTTATCCTTTAAAACTCATTTATTGCGGTTACGAATATATAAATACTTGTGTGTCCATAGCTTGGCCTGCATGTCTTCTCTTGGGCAACTGTGACTTCTCACATTTGCAAGAGCATGCACATTCTCAACCTGATAAGACGTTAATCTTCTCTTTAGGGGCTACCCACAGACACTGCTAGCTTATTGGGTATGGGCAACTGTAAAGGTTAGAAAACCTTATCCAGTTGCTTTTGTTTTCTCCCCTGCTAAAATAAGCTCTGAAGGTATTGGCAGCACTCCTTCCCCTGGCTTGTACCATAAGCTAAACCCAGACATTCACCTGAGACTACTACTCATGTTCAGGTTCCCTCGTGAAAGTTCAGATTAATTCCTGTACATCCTACTCTCCTTTTCTCTATAAGGCCCCATTCACACCAGGGCAGATGCGTTTCAGTGCAAATTTTAAAAGGGCGTTTTTGGGTGCTTTTAATTGCATTTTAGCACTGAAACGCAATTAAAAACTCCCAAAAACATGCTAAGTGCATTTCCATTCAAATCTATATGGAGTCCGCGATGATCAGCATGAAGGAAAAGCTCAGGGAGCATTTCGGGGGGCAGTCGGTTCGCGTCGTGCGATCGCATTAACGCTCCCAATAGGAATGTATGGAATAATTCATGCTGGCGATTCAGCGCGGACAAATCCACGCGACCGAACCGCACGAATGGTACAGAAGAGTAAACAACTGCTCAGGCTGTTGATTTTTAAAAATATTTTTTTCTTTATCAGTTTACATAAAGGAGTATTTGTTTTAATCTGATGCTTTTCCTGTTTCTATCTCTGTTTTAAAGTTTGCAGATCCTATCGGCTCTGCTTGACTTGGGCCTTATCTTCAGTTACAAATTATCTACAACTCATGATGCAAAACCTTTTCTTCTTGGCAAGGACCTTATTTGTTCAAGTAGTTAAGTAGTCACTGTTGCAACTTAGTGCTTGCCGGCACTTTCAGTTTCTAATATATATGTGAAGTAAAAGAAAAGCGACTAGCACCACACAGTGTTCAAACTGTGTTTCTTTTTTTCTTGCTTTAGCAGTTGGCCCAGTTGGCATAAATATTGTAGTTGTAATAGTCTGTGACTGGGGTTTTTTTTTTTTTTTTTCTTTTCTGGCCCTGCCACGTGCAAGTTCCATTCCTTTATAATATAATACACAATGTAACATAAGAAACAAATCAAACAAGATAATCTAAATGGTGTTGTTTGATAAGAGCCCACCCACTTTACACAAGTGTCTTGCAAGACTGCAGAGTTTTATTTCTTCAATGTCATTCAGATGAAGTGAGCTAGCCATCATTGCAGCTAATCGAAATCACAATAATCAGTAATGTTGCATAAATTCACAGAAGCAAAAATTTGAGAATAAATGCTTAACAAGTTCTGTGAGGTCCACGTAGTAGCACATTACCCAGAATTTCTGGCAATAATCAAAAACAGTGATGCTTATTACCAATTGTTCATGTTTGCAACACTGGGTGACCTATTCACACCTAAGTATGAACTTTTTTTCCCGGCTGAATTTGTTTTTTTAGTTGGGAACGTGCAATGTGTTTTTAATGAATTTTGACAAAACCTTGACTTATTTCCTTTTTAGTTATGTCCATATGATTTTTTATTGATGCACACTTTTATTTTTTTCCTTCATTCTGCAACTTTTTTAGTGTTTAGATGGGGATCTTTATGAGAGACTTCGGGATTACCTTTCAATGATCAACAAGACTGAGCTTAACATTTGTAAATCCACACAGGAACGGTTTGCAGACAACCTGGAGGCTTCCCTTCAGGTAAGATTTACCAGCTATACAATTTATTAAAGGGCACCTGTCATAATGGCTAGAAAACTAACCTGACATAGTAGGTGAGGTTGAATAAAGACAAGGGTCCATCCAGTAATCCATAATCCAGTAAAACATTCATAATCGGTCACAGTTGTTGCCATTCTGGAAGTGAGCTGGATTGGGGCCTCAGCTATGCCACATAACACACCCTTGACTGGCTGATTTAAATGTTTTTTTGTTTTTTTAAAACAAAGTGGCTGAACTTTATTGAACTGTGATGAGGACCAAAGATCAGCCCAATAGCGCTGGAGAAGGGCACACTTGTAATGTAAGATAGGAGAAAAACAAGAGTGGGTTGTAAGAATCTACAGGTTAACTTGAAACCCACCTCCAACAATCATTCATTCAAACTGACACTAAACTAAGGAGTTAAATCTTAAAAAACCTTAACTGTTAACAAAAATATATCTTATTTGTGTATCACTCAGCTGTAGATCCTCAAATCATCTCTGAATTCATGCTGGCACTGTCTTTGTAAAGTACCCACCGCTCCAAGCTCACTCCGGTGATGTATTATTAGTTTACTAATTTGTTCTGAGATTGTAGTCTGTCACGGGAGCAAGCTTGGAGCGAAAGGAATGACTTATGCACCGATTGAGTATCGTGTACATTTTTGTTAATAGTTAAGGTACTTAATTGCATTTTTTTTTTTATGAATAACATTTTCTTTATTTTCAAAAGTTACATTCACAAGTTGGTTACATACAGAAGATTCACGTCATTTCCAAAATATCTTAGCTTATTACAAACCGCTATAGCTTACCCTGGGGTAAATCTCAATCGTGTGCTTAGGTGTCTACTGAAGTAAGACGTAATGATATGATAGACTGTGTGTATAACTACAGAAGCAGAATGTGCCTCTGCCAGAAGTTATTTCTGCTCACCATTCCAGTCGCCTTTTGCCAACTTGAGGCGCAGCGTTAAACCAATCCTAATATCATTAACAGTCAAAACAGACAAAATAACACAAACTCTTTATCCTATCAGTCTCATTCCGACACACAATCATATCTTTATCACATCAGTATAAGGATTATATCTCTCGAGTTGCCTGACCTCCTAGACCTTTATTTGTTTATTGCACTTTCGGGTTTGAGTCTCCCACAGTCTTCTGCCTATTCAAATACCCAACCATCTCTCCGATTCCTCCTACCATTAATGTATCCCAAATGCCAAGAAGGGTGTCCTCTAGTCCTGTCAAGATATAAGGGTCCTGCGAGGTCCGTTGTGGGATCTCTCCCTCTCTATAGAATAGTGTCTTCCAAATCATTCCAAGGTTTCCATACTTTTTCATACTTAGATAAAGTATTGTTTTAGCCTAGCAGTAAGGATTTCCATAGTCTGCACCTCCTTGATTCTTCTGTATAAATCTATTGGAGCAGGAGAAGATACCCGTTTCCAATTTAGTGCTATGAGGCAGCGAGCTGCTGTTAGGATATGGGATAATAATCTATAATCATATTTACTGAGGTGCGGGAAGGGAAGCCCCAGTAGTTAGTGAATTGGAGACAGAGGGAGACTTGTCTGTAGCACTTTTTCCAAGGTGTTCTGTACCATCCTCCAATATGAGAAGGAGGACCTAAGATAGGTCTCCGGGGGGGACATTAAGTGGGAGCACTTCAGTTTTGGACACATTAAGCTTGTATCCCGATAGGAGCGATATCAATGGTCGGGTCAGTGTTAAAATCATATCATCGGCAAACAGTGCTAGTTTAAACGAGTGATCCCGAACCATTATCCCAGTAATGTCTGGAGATCTCCGTATAGTCGATGCCAAGGATTCTATGCACAAGGTGAATAAGAGTGGCGACAGAGGGCAGCCCTGTCTAGATCCATTGCGAATTGGAAATGCTTGCGATGTAGCATGTTGTAATTTAATAGAGGCTGATGGCGTTGAATACAAGGCTAGTACTGCTTTAGCGAAGGGACCCGTAATCCCCATTCTCCCCAAGGTTGCAAATAAAAACGGCCAGCTCATCCTATCAAAAGCTTTTTCAGCATCCAGACTCAAGAGGAGGGTAGCCTCCTTTTTTTCTCTCTACAATATCTAAAATATCTATTATTCGACGGGTATTGTCTCCTGCCTTGTCGGTTGAGTATAAATCCTACCTGGTTGGTGTGTATCAAAGTAGGGAGTAGTCGGGCCAGTCTGTTGGCTAGGATTTTTGTATAAATTTTAAAGTCGGAGTTTAGCAAGGCTATGGGTCTATAGTTCGCACATATTTTATAGTCTTTGTCTGGTTTGGGAATAACTACAATGTAAGAATGCAAAAAGGAGGAGGGAATGGAGTCTCCTTTCATGAAGCCATTGTACAAGGTTGTCAAGTGTGGCAATAGTGTAGCTACGTATGTTTTGTAGTACAAATATGGAAAGCCATACGGACCAGGAGATTTTCCACTAGGCAGAGTCTTCATAGTATAGGAAAAATAAATCTGCGCTCCTGGATATGTCTAAATTGTACTTGTACCAAAAGCAGCTATGAAATAAAGGAGGTGAACCGCCTTTAAATAGATAGAGTATTTGTAACACAGCGCTAGAGATGGAGTCAACAAAATGTGTGTAGATGTTCACAGATTGGGTTAAGTGATAGCTCATCCTATCAAAGGCTTTTTCAGCATCCAGACTCAAGAGGAGGGTAGCCTTTTTTATAAAAAACCGTCACAGATTATCCACTGTAATCTTTTTGAGACGTTTTTTCTGATACTGTGTTATATATTTCAATGAAGTTGTAATGCCGTATTATACTCACTAATCGAAGCTGATTTCATCTATCTACTATCATCTAATTTTATTTATTAGTACTTTCGAAGCTGACTTTATCCATTTTATTATTATTTAATTTTACTATCTATTTCTATTTTTTGTCATCTAAGTTTATCACGATTATTCACATATGTTTGAATGTCATTAATATTTATTAGCTATAGGCTACACTTAACCTTTAGTTAATTGCTCACTCGTGTTGTTCACACATTGATACAATTCATCTTTTTCGTTTACTTTTTATGATTGTTTCTAAGACACATAATTTATACATTGATATACATTGATCACTTAACCCAATCTGTGAACATCTACACACATTTTGTTGACTCCATCTCTAGCGCTGTGTTACAAATACTCTAGAGTCTTTATAGTACTAGTAATTTCTACAGGTGTTATCGGTGCATTTAAGTCCATCAGTGAATCCTTTGTGAGCTTAGGTAATTTACAAGATTCAAGATATTGTGCTATTCGGGAGTTTAGGGAGTCATCATCTACAGCAAATGCAGGGCCCTTCAGATTATACAGTCCCTCATAATATTCCTTAAATATTGCCGCTATCCGCTCTGGATGATGATGTAACACCCCTTTTATTATCTCTCATAGTCGAAATCTTTCTATTATCCATATCGACCTTTAGTTTTCGGGCTAGAATAGAATGGGCTTTGTCACCTCTCTTTTTTTGTTTGAGATATAACATTGACATCTCTGTTTTCTGAATCAGTAGATGGCGCAATTGAGCTTGAAGATTAATAAGAGTGCGGAGAATATCACATATGCAGCATCCTCAGCGCTGATGGCGAGGAGTAGACTTGGGAGTCCCTCTTGGATTACAGAGGGGGGTTTCGAATGGGGCATCAAGCCTCACTGCCTTTTTCCCAGGCGTGGATCTTTGCCATGTTGTCGGTTCAGGCCCAAGTTTGGGCAAGGGCTCCCAGCCTGAAAGGGTAGGACAGGTGATGCGAAGGTCCGAGCAAAAGGAGGAAAGATCTTCTGGCATCCTAAGGGTAGCGCTTTTGCCATCTCTACGCGCCGTAAGGCTGAAGGGAAAGCCCCAGCGGTACGGTATGTCATTGTCCCTCAATAAGGTCAACAATGGTTGTAGACATCTTCGTTGCTGCAACGTGACCCACGAAAGATCATGATACAGTTGTATGGGAGCTCCATCAAACTCCAAAGATCTCATGTTGCGGGCTTTCTGTAGGATCTCCTCCTTTACGCTGAAGTGATGAATCCTGCATATGACATCCCTCGGGTTGGTAGCAGAACCCCTAGGGCGAAGGGCTCTGTGGGCTCGGTCAATACTTATTTTATTGGCAGCAGGGGACGCTTGCAGGACCTCCTTCAAATCCTCAGATCCAGTAGCTTCCGGCAATCCTTTGAGACGTAGGTTATTCCTTCTCCCTCGGTTGTCTAGATCCTCCACATGTCTCTGCAAGTCTCGAATAGTATTAGCTTGCATCACATATTGTGATTGAAGTCGATACAGGTCTAATTTATTGTGTTGTACTTCTTCCTCTATGCCTTCTACTCTTTGAGTCAAATGCTGGAAGTCATTATGGAGTACCTGTATTTCTGATTTACAGGTATCTCTAACTTCTTGCACCAACAGTCTAAAATCTTTCTTAGTCGGGATATGTTTCATGCACTCCCGCCACGAAGAATAATCCTCCTCTTCTGCATCAGTGGAGGAGTGTGAGGTAGGGGGCCACACAGGTTTACGTTTCTGCGAAGGGTGTATAGAAGCAAGCAAATCTGTAGTATCAGCAGTACTTGCATTGCTAGCCATGTCCTGGGGCTTACGCAGGGGCTGTGGGGTGGCCTGATGTGGAGTGTGGCCTGCACTGGAATCCCTGGGTCTGGGAGACCGTTGCGGCCTAGGTTCCAGTTCCTGAGCTACATCCCATGGCTCGACTGATATCTCCTCCTCCCCTAATGCTGATGGGTCAACCTCGGCCCCTGCTCCACGGTCTCCAGGAGCCGATGTTTGCCGGGGGGCCTGTCTATGGTTCAGGGGTAGGTTTAGGTCTCCTTCTGCTGCCTGCCATACACGCATGGAGGGCCTCACTGAGGCGTCCTCACATGCAGGCCACTCACCCCTCTTTCTTGCCGGCTGCATTGCGGTGGATGGTGTCATCGTGGGCGGCGTCAAAGACACGTCCTCTGTCCGCTGAGTCAGACGGGGAGCTCGGCCGAGATTCCCCCAGTCTCAAGTCCGGAGAGGGCGGTGAGTACGACAGCGCGGGCCTGTTGTCTCTGTTTGTGCCCGTCACCATCTTGCCCCGCGGATCTCCTCTCACACGGTCCGACTGACCAAAGAAGCCCTTGATGGACGAGGACGACTGGGACCCCTTGGCGGAGGTAGAGGGAGTCTTTGCAGACTTCTTATGTTTCTTGTCCTTCATGTTGGAAGCTGAAATAGGGCTGCTAATCTCCACAATTCAGCGGCAATGGACGGAGCTCAGGGAGGACACGTCTGCTCACATCCCCTGGTAGCCACGTCCTTAATTGCATTTTTAAGATGTAACTCCTAAGTTTAGTGTCACTTTAATTTCCACTTTAAGAGGGTAGGGACCGTCACAAGGTAGATTGGAAATTATTTTACACCTTCTCTGATGATTGGTATATGTATGAGCCACCCTCTACATTTGACTCTGCCATATATTGAATGATCAGGATAAAAGATGTGTCCACACAAGTATTTGTGGTTCACATACAGCTCCTTCTGTTTTCTTCTCTTCATATATTAATACATGCAATTTAACTTTGAATTGGTCAGATGTGGCCAGCCATGTGAATGTCTATATTTGCTCCAATCCATCTTACCTGAAAGTGTTTGGCTGGTCCACTCTGCATGTGAATGGCCACAACTTCATGTCCCAGGTCTTCCCACAGCAACAACTTATAAGTCCCAGTCTGGTCCTCTTCTGGGACCTAAGGTCTAGTCTCAGATTTGGCCCTGAAGTGTCCCTGTCTCCAGACCATTAATTCCAGCAACAGTCTTCTTATAAGATTTTATGTGCAATTTATGTATTCTATGCATGTTCTTAACCTGTCAAAGTCTCCCTTCTGAAGATATCGAAAAGCCCTGAGACTGCTGCTGGGTGCTGCCATCTTGGATATGATGTCCCAGCCCCTGCTGAGTCAGCGCAGTCACTCAAGTGACGATCTCTATTGCAGGGGTCCCCAGGCCACGTACCGGTCTGTGGCCTGTCAGCAACCAGGCAGCCGCTGGTCCTCGTCCAGGGCCGTATTAACACAGGGGAGCATGGAGCCCCCTCTGCAATTAGGCTGGCCCGGATCATTTGGGATGCCCAATGGCAATCCGGGCTGGCTACATTCAGGCAGAGGTGGCACTCTAATCAGGCATATTAGAAGGCCACTCGCTGGGACTTCTCGGGGAACTAGTGAGGAGCGAGCGGCCGTCTGTTGAGAGCCGCATCCACTGCACACATAGACGCCATTGAGACTTGCTGGACCCCTGGTGAGAGCCCGCACTGGCCACCTGAGAGCCCCATCAACCACCTGGGAGCCCAAACTGAACAGGAAAACAAGCTCAGGGCTTCTATTTCTAGTTTGACTATTTTTGATGTGGGGATGTACTGGAGGCCCCAGCGTGCATTTTGGATTGCTGGGCCTCCAGTGCGTCCCTGCACTTCTTGAGGAGGAGTGGGCTGCCTCCAGGTACACCTGCATTTAATTTATCGATTGCATTAATATGCTCCAACATGGAGACTCATAGTTAGGAGCACACTTCACAGAGAAGCCTAGATGGGGCAGAGTGGCTTCTACATATTTTTGGCCAAAGGTTTGTGTAACTAAAACCTCTGCTTTTAATGCATACTGTTGGACATAGCAAGGTGTTTTGTTGCAGGCTAGCTGGGAAGTGTGCTGGGGACTCTTTTTGTGTCTTGTATTGCCTCAGAGTCCTCAGAGATGGGTAACTGGCTTTGACAGGTTCCCTTTAAACCATTTGAATAAATACCACCTTTGAGTGCTTCCAATAATCTATGCATGCAACTCTCTCTCCTTCATACTCAGGTTTCTCGTCAACAGAATTTACAGCTTTTTCTGAAAGACACCAATTTGTTCTCCCCAGTACCTATTCAGCAATTCCACCCTGCAGGGACAGATAAGGTATTTGCAATATGATAATGGAAGCTTTCAATGTGTACAATCTATTGCCCAGTAATCCCAGTGCCTGACTTTTCTTTCAACAAATGTAAGAAAAAATCTAATTGACTATTTTCATAGAATGTTGAATATACAGCAGACTTTTACCACTGACTCAATCTATTTTTCATCGCAGAGTTAAAATCGTTCCTTCCTACCTACCTTCCTCCTGTGCCACGTCATTTTCTACAAGATATAGGTTGTCTTGAAATTGGGTCAAACAAGGTCGTATTGACTCCTAATACTTAGGGGCATGTTTATAAAGCAGTAAATGTGACATTCACCAAACATTCATTGCTGGTTAATTCACTATAATTTGAAGCAGATGCACTAGGAAGATTCACCTGCAGTTACTATTTGGTGAATGTCACCTCCACTTCTTTATAAATATGAGGCTCATTTTGTTCAGTTTTAAAACCCAATTCCAGCAATTTTTATAGAGTGGGGGGAAGAGTTAGAACTCTGTTTTTATTGCTGTCTGTGTCTTCATTCAAGTATAAATCCTAGTTTAAGGGCTTGATCTGATCATCTTCTTTCCAGTAGTTTTCAGCAATCACTCTGGCGCTGGTGCCGGTCTTTGATCCAGCGCTGACTGCTGTGTCTTCCTGCCCCACAGAGTCTGTGCACGCTGCCAGGCTGCTTGCATTGACTTACCCTGTGTCTCTCCTCTTCTCCCGGCCGAAGATCTCTACTGCGCATTTGCCCACCCTATGATCCTTCAAGGTCCCCTCGAGAATTTGTAAGATCTTCAGACGGGAGCGGGTGGTGGAGACACAGGTAAGTATTAACCTTTTTGGTGACATATTATTTTATATATATTTTTATGTTTTTGCATATGTCTACTGCTTGCTAGCAGTAGATATATGCAGAAAAAAAAAGTAATGTTTAATTATCCTTTAAGAACGTTATCCTTTACTTCCTGTCCAAGTGACAGTGTATCACAGGGACAGGAAGAGAGGGGACATCTCTCTAGTGGAGTCACAGGCAGTAGAATAAATCCTGACCGTTTCTAATTTCATTGGCAGCACTACCATCCCCCACCATTCTATAATATTAGCTTATTAATAAAGGGCTGACATTTATTACATCTTTCTTGTCATGCTGATTTTTCAGATTGAATTGTCTTTTATAGTGTTGATATTTTTTTCGAAGGGTTTGTTGTAGCTTTTTAATAGCTTTCTTTGTTGTGTGTATATATATATTTGACAGGTGTCAAAGCTAGAAACACTCATTAAAGGTCCAGAAGCAGAGAACGTGTTAGACAAAGATGCACGAAGATGGACAAGTCGAGCAGCAAGAGATTATAAACTGAAAACCCATGGCGAAAGGGTTAGTGCTCAGGGATGATTATTTTCTGTCGTGTCATTTGTTCTTTGGTTACCACAGCGATCACATGTCAATGTTTACATTTCCAAGCCCTCCCCTTCCACTTACAACAGAGATGGGGAGAGTACAGGAAGTAATGAATGAAAGAGTCATCCATTTCTTAGTTCCTGGTGAAAAGCTGCAGCAGCAACAACATTTTTTTAAATGGTGTATAAACCCCTTAAGCCCCTCCCTCCCTTCATGTATTTGTTAGTTCCTTCTGTCTTTGCTCTGTATTAAACCCTTCAAATCCCTTATCCGGCACCTCTGTACATTAACCCATTCATCTCCATCCTCCCACTGTATGTGACCTGCACATTAACACCTTCACCTCCTCCTCCTCCCTCTGTGCATGACCTGCACATTTAATGTATCTAGTGCACCATTACCAACCTCCATGTTTTAATCCCCTCAATACCAGCATATTTATTTTCCAAAAAACTGTGGCAAAAAATCACATCACCTTGGAGTGTCTACTTTCTAAAACAGGGTCATTTCGGAGGTTTTTGTGCTGTCCTGACATTTTATTTGATATGTTTTCTAACAAAGTAAGGGAAACGGGTCTTCAACCTTTTTTTGGTCTTTTTCCCCCTCTATATAGTAAACAATAAAAACAAAAGGGTTATTAACTATCGCCAAAAGAAAGCTCAGTCTCAAAAAATGAAGGGGGTTTAACATGCTGGTAATTAAGTGGTTAATTGGATTTACATATAATTGAATGTTTTAATATGATTATGAATACATTCATTGTAATCTCTCTTGAATCCCTGGGGTCGCCATCTGTTTAAGTATTTATGTATTTTACGTATTTGTGACTCCTTTGTTCCTTTTTATTCTTGTATTGGAGACATGGGCCAGTAAGGCAGTTTTTTCCTTTGCTCTGTCATCTGTTTACCATTTCTGATATCCGTCTTTCCTGGGGCTTAACCTCACCTTTCCAAATGTTTTTTTTCTTTGCCTCTTTCAGTACAAGTATTGATTTCATGTGGTTTGTCTTAACCAGCCATTAATGCGTCTGTGGCTTTTTGACCTTGCATAGAAAGGCACTGGAGATCATATATCCAAGGGCACAGAAAGGTAGCTTTAGATAGGCAGAGCAGATGCTGAAATTGTTAAACAGTTTAAATACATATTGGAGAGAATATAAGCATCTTAGAGGAGAAATAGAAATATTAGAATAGATTCCTACGCCATGCTGTTTTTCATTAAATATCAGGCCATGTGACGTTGCTGAGCATTAAACGGAGCGGATCTTCTATTAGAATCGGGGTGTGGGGGAGTCGATCTCCTAATATGAGATTACAGTTTGCCCAACTTCTCCAGTCATTTTAAGTTGAGCAATCGTTTAATATGACAGACTTCTGGTTTTAGGCTGGTTGGTCTGATCATTCAGTATTGAACTGATTCTTCTTGACCTCCATCCTCAATAAATCTTTATTTCCACGTATACCTGTACACGCTGTTTGTCTTTTTGTCCTGATAACCATTGACATCAAAGAAAGTGAAGGAAGTTCCTAAAATTCTTGTTGAATTGTTGTTGGAACAGGAGGTGATGGGAAATCATCTAGTGGGCAAACCTATTTTGTTGACCACTATCTAAGAGGACATATTCCCTCCCTTTGGAGAGATCTTCTTCTACTTCCTGCTGTGTTTCCGGAACAGAAAGTGAATGCTGATGTGATTGATTAAAGGAGAACTATGGGGTTAAGGCTTTTCCCCATAGTTCTCCTTAGGGTAACGGGAGGACACAAACTAGCGTCCTCCCATCACCCTAGGCTCAGTATACAGCGAGCAGTATACTGAGACGCCGCAGTATACCGCGAGCTGCTGCTTGCGGTATACTGAGATGCTGAAGAGGATCCCGACAATTATGTCTGGATCCGCCCAGCTGCGTGACTGACAGCTGGCTCTGCCTATCTAGAGGCAGAGCCAGCTGTACCCACCCCCTCCCCCGTCCGTTCCGCCAGTCAGCGCTGGCGGATCGGGGAGGGGGGAATCCAGCCCCTCCCCTGTCACGGCAGAGAGCCGTGACAGGATCGAGAGGTGAGCGAATGCCGGTATGTGTTCGCTCACCTCTCGATCTACTGAGCTGACCTGTGACAGTCTCATTGTCACAGGTCGGCTAGAACTATGAGGTGAGTGAAAAGCACTCACCTCATAGTTCTCCTTTAACACAAATGTCCCAAAAAGGCAACATCCAGACTTGATCCGATCTTTAATCTTTTATTACAGCATTTCATATAAAAAGGCATCAACATGAGACGCGTATTGGCTAGCCCTGGCCTTAATCCTTAGCATTTGGTCAGAACCTGCCTAGTATTAATGTCGTTTTTGTTTTTTTGGTTTTTTTTCTGACATGCTGGCTTTTCTTGGTAGTAGTTGCACTTGGAAAGGTGATGCACTGTACCACCAGATGTGATTCAGTCCTGACTTTGAACTAGCTATGTGGACTGATTACTACCTTCCTGGGTTCCCTGAATGCCAATGTTTTGTACAGTGATATCAGTGTATGGTGGTGGTTAGGCTTCCCTGGGAACTTTACTTGGATTACTGTATAATGATGTAAAGCTGGTGAATTAAGTTACACTATACCCTTTTAAGGTTCTGCAAAGACTGGAATCCAGGAGGAAAATTGCTGCAGAAGAGGAGCTGCCCAGCATGGATCTGAAAATAGAGGAAGTAAAGGAGAGTGTGCGGAAAGCTGAGGTATTTATAACAATTCTATGCTGCATGGTCATCAGCAGTATAGCATGCTGGGTAGTAATTTCAGTACTAGCAAACATGCTGTACTTTGTTCATGGTAAAAATATATTGCACCTTAAAGGGACACATACCAGCCTATAAAAGAGCAACTCGGGGCAAAAATCCATTAGTGAGCTGTAAGTCCTACACAGGAAATTAAGCAACTAGGTTGCAAATTCCAACTGCTGTAAACTTAATTTTTTGCAACCCACTGTCCTCTGAATGCTGTGGGATCGTCACCTGCTCTGTAGGGTAGCACTGAGCTTCTTGTCCTGTGACTCCTAGGGTGACAACACTGTATCTGTGGAGGAGCAGTGTTGTCACCCTAGGCTGCCCTCCATATTTTGCCTACAAACATCTGACCCTTTTTTGTAGGCTCATAATGTTTGAGATATCCACTCAGGGCACAGTAAGTGATAAAACTCTTGATTCCGGGCATTATCAACAGATATTTTGCTGTACATGCAGAAAATGTACTTGGCCTTAACAATGAACACCAATGCAGCCACTGTATCCAAGGACTGGTCAGCTGCAACCTATTCCATTTGTGTGCCTTTGTTCCATCTTGTAACTTTATGTGAAACTGGTAAGCCCCTAAATGTGCAATATGCAGTGATTTCTGGCTGTCTTCGAGCCAAGCCCCGCTCCTGCTTTTTCAGTGGTCAGTGTAGGCTCTCATAGTGGACTCTTAAATGGCAGGTGTGGGGTTAATGGTACATCTATAGTCAAGGTGCTTTCTAGGGGTAAGGATATTAGATCCAAGCATTGCAAGGTATTGATGTACCTGACTGATTGCCTTAAAAATATATTCTGGCCCGTTGCTTTAGATTCTGTTGCTGCATCCTAGAGGGGTGTCCACTGGGATTGACACATGGTACACCCAAGCATTGTGTGTGTGTGTACGTTCTTGCGTGCGCGCACATATGCATTTGATATATTTGGGGGGTTTTCTGAGTATGTATGTATCTATGTAAACATATATAAACATTTGTGACCTATGCTCTTTAATGTGTATTAGGTCAGTAAGGAAAAAGCAGATGCCCGGGTGGAGTTGTTGCGTCAGGTCGTAGTTGATGTAGACACCTGGCTGGCTGGTGCTATGACACAAGCCAATGAAGAACTCGAGCAAGAGCGACGTCTTAGTGAAGCCCGGATGTCTAACGGAGAGATGTCGCCCACTGTAAGTTCTGTATATTGTCATTAGGCACTGTCATATGTCAATGATGTGCTAGTATACCTAAAAGGACCACTGATGTCATTCACAAATACTGTATGTATACAAATGTACCCATATCTGAACAGGAGCTATATGCATGCCAAACTTTGCCAGCTGCCCTGTCAAGTCTACTGCACTTCTAATAATCTTGTACATGTACAGACACCCCTGCCAATGCTAACTAGGACTTAGGGCATTCAAAGTGTTTATAACGTTAGCTTTTCTGGAACCTGAACATGATTAATCAGATTACCCCAAACAAATATGATCCTAGATATAGATTTTAGTGTTGCTGTGCATCTTTTTTTGATATCAGTCCTTTTTGCCAAAAGGGTGTTGACGGCATTCTTCCATTGCATCATTGGGCAGGAAGTCAGCTGTGTTCAGAAGAATGATTTTTTAAATATTTTGATCGAACATTAAAAGCTCTTTGATATAAGCCACCTTTTGTTACTGTCCCATTAAATCTATCACATCAATAGAATGTCTTGCAACAAATACACATTGTTACTAATATTTGTAGGGCAGCAAAAAATATTACCATGTGAGATGTTGCTTGTGCCTTTTTGTATTTTGTTTTGCAATGCCACAGGCTGCCACAAGATGTCTCTTTTTACCGTACAGTATTTCGTTTTGTTAGATTTTCACTGTTCACATGAGATACTTCTTAAAACGTTGTATGGTTGTTTTGGAGTAAAATTCTGGCATTTAGGTCTTGGATACCCACATTTTTATACTGATCCTATAAATTACTGTTTATAGAACTGGTTAGAAGAAATAAAAAGTCATATATTGGTCGAAAATCTAGTTATAATCAGCATGTCCTTCATAGCAACCACATAGCAACAAAACCTGTTTTATATTTTTACAAGATATATAAATAGGATTCTGAGTAAAGGCAAGTTTCAGAAAGCCAATATTCTTAGTGAATCTGTGTCCAGACTACTCACAGTTAATTATTGTGTGGTTGCATTGGTTTATTTTTTGAGCACATTGCTAATCCTGACTGGTTTACTCTAAAGCAGGAGCTGAATTGTCTAAAGACAGCTAATTGAGGCAGTCCAGGCTAAGCTGGCAGCTTCTAACCAGATCATTATGATTCAGATGATAAATTTTGAATTATTTTTTTTTTCCTTTAAAGTTAACTTGCAATTATCTTTTAAAAAGTTAACAGTTCTTTTCCTTTTCCATTTCAGATGGAAGAATTTGATTTCTCAGAGTTTGAGGACGATGGCGGTGATATATTTGAAGAATCCGATTTAAATTTGAGTGGCTCTCGCTCATTCCCCTCACCTTGTCAAGTTTTTTACAGTTATACGGTAGGAGAAGTACAAAAAGTGCTGCCCATGAGCATCCCTTTCTCTGTGATTCTAGGTTGTGCTTAGGTGGGACGAGGACGGTAACTACAAGGGGGAACTAGCCTATTTCATTCAGGTAGTGCAGCATTCGGGCAAAGCTTAGAAAAAACACCAAGGGTGTAGGGGGTGCTTGGGAGAGCTCATAAATCCCTGTCATTTGCCTCCTTTTAATTATCAGCGACCTAGCCTAAGGAATTGTGCTTGTATCAGATTGACCATGTGCTCTCAATCCCCATCTTAATAATGCCAACAAAGAGCTGTTCTTGTAAGACTACTGCATAACATATGAACCCGACAGGTGTTTTAAATTATATATGAAATGATTGTGCCAACTCGTATGGCACTGCCATTAAATGAGTCCAATTGAAAACACAAAAAATGTGCTTGTGAAAATAGGGACATTATTCATCCATTAGTGGTAGTGGTTAAGATACATTCCAAGGCATTTGGGCTATGGGGTCATTAAAACTAATGGAAGAAGAAAGGAAATAAAATGTTACATAGCGACAATAGCTTAATTATATTTAACGTCTTTAGGTCTGATGTACATTTGTGGGTATCGAGCTATTGCCTGTTTTTCTTTTGTCTTCGTTTTCCTCAGACCTAGAATGTGGCTCCTATTGTTGCAAAGAACAATGCAGGAAGCATACACTCAGACCATGCTTCATATCCAAACTTTGCTTCCATTGATTTGCACCAATTTCTGACACCCGTGGGAAAATAGAGTGCAGTGCCTAAGCAGAATCCCTAGCTATGTGTGAGATTAGTCAAAAGAAGCCTGGCTGTCAAGGGACTTGGGTTCTACCTTTTACAGATGAGTCTACATCTCAAGACTAGGCAATAGGTTTACTTCTTGATGACTTTTGTCTTTCATTTGTAACTCTGTCTTATATTTGGACAGGCTACCCAGCCAGATGAACTATCTATCACACAAGGCGAGGTTCTGGAAGTCATTGAAGATGGAGATGTGGAAGAATGGGTGAAGGTCAGTTTGAAATAAAGTTTCTGTTTTTTTTCACTTTTCACATCTACAAGTCTCACTCTTATCTTGTGTTTTTCCTCAGTCCCACATCTCAGGTATGGTGTAGTAGTATCTGTTTATGGCTTCATAGAAGCAGTGTGACAGATGCAGAATATTATGTCTTCCTGAAATACAGAAGAAATTATTAAAAAAACGATTATTGTAGCTATGCAGATGTTACTGTTAATACAATTGTAGGCTCATGAACAAGTGGTCATTGGAGGAATAAGTGAACATCATAGTGTACCAATTCATAATTATCCTGACTCATTTGTCTCAAAACCAATAATCTTTTGCTTGTGAAAAGGGGAATCATGTTCATTGGTTGATCCTCTACTTCAATAGAAAGTTGGTTGAAATAATATGCCACTGGAATTGCAGTTGAACATAAAATCCTTTTTCAGGTCTGCATAAAAATGATATCTGTAGCTCACAGTGCATTGGGGTAACCAATAGGTTGCACATGTGATCATTTAACAATAATTGTCAAAGGCCTTTTGAGCAAACAAAAAGCAAACTTTAGGATAACCTCTCCTACTACCAGCATGCCTCAGTTTTTTTTCTAGTGCCATTGAAGGAAGAGTGTCTTTTTCTTAAGCTCTGCTGTCTTGTTGTAAAGATTAACCTATTTTTTTTTGGCACTTTTTTTCTTCCAACTCTTTCTCTATAGAAATTGGATGCATGTTGTGTGCTCCCCCTAAGTGCTTATGCCTAGGACAGTTTGATTAGGCCCCGTTCACACCAAGGCATCAGCGATCTTGCACGTATTTATGCACGTTTTCGCCTAGCGCTTTTGAGCGTCTTTGTGTGTTTTTGTATGCGTGTCTTACAGAGCTGCCAGATTAAGAGACATTTGTGTAAATGGGCAAACGTGCGCGAAGTCTTGCGTGATTTCAGGTTTTCCTCTTGAGTCTATTGTGACTGCCAAAAATAAATTTGTGTGCCTTTTCGAGCATCAGGTGTTTTAAAGCTTGCAACAAAACTCTCGGGTATGAATAGGGGCCATAGGAATTAATGGGATTTCTTGTTTTGTGAGACAGAACATCTAGGTTTGATTGGTGCTGGGTTGCAGGACCTTTGTGCAACAAGCATTTGATCTACCTGGCCTGCGAGGGACAAATATCTCTTTGAACCGGCTCTTGATAATTTCATCAGGGATGCTAATAATTTCATCAGGGATGAGGAAGCACCCATCTTTCTCATCACAAGAAGCATAAGCAGTATGGGATGAAGTCCTCTCCCTTGCTGCCCATTAAACATTCCTTTTATTTATTCACTCCCTCAGCTTAAGTGTCAAAGCCCTCCATGCTTGGCTCCTTGTCAACCTTTAAAGTTTGCCACTCCAAGGCTGCCACATCCTCAAGAAAGCCCTGCCTGAAAGTGCGCCCTTAATCCAGAGAGGGAGATGGATCTCCAGGGGCTCCAACCTGTTTACTGTTCCCAGACCCATAGGTGGCATTTATCCCATCTTGGGCCTCAAAATTACTGAATGTTTACACTGCCAGACAACATATCTTGTGATTGGTCCTGGACATGTCCTACATGAGAGTTGCCGCCTCCTTGCTGATGGATGTATGTTGAGCTTGGTCCACGGCTCAGGAAATCTTAATTTCATATTGTATCTTACCCTGTTTGGCCATGCTATCTCTGGAACCACTGGTATACTCCTTGGAAGTTCTTCTGACCAATGTCATACTCAGGATTCCTCCCAGATGAGTCATCTGCTCTGACCGTTATTCTAGATATGAACTTCTTATTGTCTTGAATCTTACAGGTTTAGTTAGGTTGAAGCTTAGGGTCTTTAGTGTGGCTCTGGTCTTCTGCAAGGACTTTGTTAGTTGATTTTCAACCTTCAGATTGCTTTAAGACTTCCTTATGGTGAAGACTTCCAGTGTCCCTAATTGGACAAATAAGAAAATAGGATTTTTGTACACCCCATAAAATCCTTTTTTTGAAGTCCATTGAGTGTTGTTGATCATGCTTCCTACAAAACTGAGGCATACCAGCTCTAAGAAGGGTTATGCTGGGCTGGCCTACAAATTTTGTTTGTATATCCAGCTGTAATGCAAATCAATAGTGAAGGTTGAGGAACCTTTTTTTTTAATTTTATATATATTTTATACAATCTCTGGTTTTCGTGTGTGTGAGATATATTCTTTAATGAAGAACTGCAGGTATGCAAGAAGTAGTCTTACTGCAGGGGTTACCTTTTTTACATTCCTGAAGTTCCTTTTTAAACAGCTGGTGATGTATAAAAGGGAGTTGGGGTGTGTTATTCCATCAGTCTACCATCCTTCCCTCCCTGTAATCCAACAATCAGTTATAACTATCTCCTCTATCTAGTTATAAAATGGAGAATGCAGATTAAAGCAGTCATACTGTTCAATGCTGTACAAGGCTGAAAGACTTCTAATGAGATGAATGAAGTTGATTAGTTACAGCCATTCTGTGAGTGTTACTATTGCATGGTGTATGTAGTTTAAAAAAAAAAATATATTTTTTCTTTTTCTTTTTAGCAATCTTGCAAGCCCTAATTGAGTAAGGCTGATTTAGTTGCTTCGGCTGCAGTAGTAACATTGTCTAAATGGCCTTGCAGTCCGAGAAGTAATTCAATCTTTTATAAGCGTTAGAGCGAAGGTGGGCACAAAGTATAAAAAGAAAGTCTTAATCCCTTTATACCCTAATAAGATATGGACGTAACAATATGTACTATTCTCTGTTTGTGCTGCAGGCCCGGAACAAAAGTGGACAGGTTGGCTATGTACCAGAAAAGTACATTAACTTCATTAAACAGAGTGCTGCACAATCCATGGACACTGGTCATGACAGGGGGATGTCTACAGAAAAATCATTCTCTGCAATAGCCAGGCTGGAATGGGCTGATGCAGGAGGTACATTCCAATCTATATTCTTGTTAGAACTTAGAATGCTTTTATTCTATTAAAGGACAGTTAGCTATTTGCCATTGTAATGTATAACTAAATATGGATAAAATACCTTTAATTTCATTGGTTCTTAGCAGGATTGAAGGTAGTTGGATTGAAGGTAGGATGTTGGCTGGAATGGGAAATGGCGGCTGTTGTCAGACCAGATTCAGTTTATGCTACAGGAAACTGTATATTGAAAAATGACATGCTTGTGCGCACACACACACACAATGAGCTCTCTCTTCCATATGCATTTCTGATTTTCTTGTTTTCTTAGAGGTGTTTCTAGTGCTTTTGTTATCCATTAAGGATCTCAAGCCACACTTTGCAGCTATACATCTGTAGATTGGCAGCAGTGTAGGAGACTGCCTAACAAAGCAGTGTAACAAAACTGCACATCTATTAAAATTACAGAAATAATAAAAGATGTCTTTGGGCCCATGAAGACTATGCATTGCTGAATTAATGGGCTGGCAGGACCTGGCACCCCCCTTGTTGTACTGCATGTTACCGCATTCAAGGAAGCATTCTCTCAAATCCCGGACCAAATTTTGCACTGAATATACCCAGTTTAAGAACTTCTCATTTCCTGTTATTTGTGCAGTAATATGGGCCTTGCCACAGTTTGTTGAGGCGTGACCGGTAATGCCACTTCTAGGAACATGTGTTCTTTCACAGATGGTTATGTAATACAGAAGTTGTTTTTAACTGACCCTTATATTAGCTGACATTCATTAAAAAAAATTAAGACTTCAGAAACTGGCAAGGCAATGTATGAAAGTCTAAACCAATTATATAGCTGTGTCCCTTACTAATATTTCCTCCTCTTCCCCTCAGTATCTCTTGCCCGAGCACTTTATGACTACGAAGGACAGAGTGAAGAAGAGCTCAGTTTCTTGGAAGGATCCATCATTCAAATTATCCGTAAAGAAGAGAGTGGAATAGATGATGGCTTTTGGATGGGAGAATTCAATGGATGTGTTGGAGTGTTTCCATCACTTATGGTGGAAGAGTTAACAGGAGATGATTCAGAACTAAACAAGGTATATTGTATTGTCCTTTTAGTTTGTAGCAGGGAGTATATTACCACATATTGGATACACCATATAGTCTGTGCTAATGCAGCTTCTGGTAAAAACAAAAGTGGAGGGGCCAGTATCCCCAAACGGTGCTAAGACTGCAGTACGAACCTGGTCCCAGCCCTTCCCCACTCTACTTCCAAATAAGGAAAAGGTCTACAGGTGAAACTCAAATAATTCGAATATCGTGCAAAAGTTCATTTATTTCACTAATGCAACTTAAAAGGTGAAACTAATATATGAGATAGACTCATTACATGCAAAGCAAGATAATTCAAGCCGTGATTACGAGTTTCATCTGTAAAATGCTACATGAGAATCTGTTTGAAAGATCTTCACAACAGGAGCATAGATAGCAATAGATATCTGATAGAGGATCTAACTGTTTTATACTCGGTGTAAAATAAAGAAATAGCATGGTTTTGACTGAAGTTGTTTAAACGGGATCAAAACCTAAGAACTAAAGTTTCATATTTTGCAACCTACCATTCCTTAGATGTGGTGGCATTCATAGTCTCTTTGCAAGTATAGAAAATATGTTGATCCTTCCAGAATTCCCATGTCACTTTCTGTGCAAGGAACTGATATCACAAACGGTGCTATCAGCTTTTCCAGCTATCTTCTGTGAACTATGAATCCTCTTTTCCCATGTAATTAAGATGAGGAGAGAAGGTTTCTTGTAGTATAAATCAGGATAGCAGCCTAGGCTGGCAACACTACTTCTCCACATGTGCAGTGAGGGAGCATTATCATGTGTGGCAGTGCATGGCAATGCCGCAGCTTAGTATGGCAACATTGGCACCCAGGACTCTCAGCCAAAGGGGCTGAGAGGGTCCAGAATATAAACAATGTGGCTCTTCCTTAAAACATTGTTTTATATTTTGGACCCTCTCAGCCCCTTTGGCTGAGAGTCCTGGGTGCCAACGTTGCCATACTACGCTGCGGCATTGCCATGCACTGCCACACATGCTAAGAAGGAAGTGTGTTACTGGCAGGATCACCAGGTGAAAATAACAGAAAAAAAATCCTAAACAAAAAACGGCAGCTACCACAACTAAGGACTTGTAAGCTGTAATACATTCTTTGTTTTTAGTTTTAGATAAGCTTTAAGGTTCACATAAGAGAAAATATGAAAGCTGGCTTCTCCAACCTTCCATTGTCATAAATTGGCCTCATTTGGCCTTCTGCAATGGGAATAGGGTAGAATGTTAATCTGTACAGTATAATAGGTGTGGCCAGACTGTATGGTGGGGGTATAACCTAAGGTTCCTATTAATGCTTGCTTATTTTTTTTTAATGCTCACTTTTTTTTCTCATTTATCCCTGTTTTATACAACTGTAGGATCTTCCTTCGCCTGCTCCACCTACCTCTCTTCCTCCAATGCTTTCTCCACTTTCCATCACTAGATCTTCACTGCAAGGAACAGCTGGACAGTCAGGTATTTGTACTTCGAAAAAGTTTTTTCATGCTTGTTTTTTCTCAATACCTATTTTTGCTTTCCAAAATCAAATATTACATTGCTGTAGAAGTCTTTTGGCTGTGAACCAGTAAACACCCCTTTTCTTTTAAGTTCCAAGAAATCCCCCCAACACAATATTATATATTTGGCCTAACAAGGATTAGATCAGCAGCAGGGAAATAAATCGAATCCGCTTTGGCTGCTGCATGGTAAACTGGAGCTGACTTCCCTCCTTAAGGCCCCATTCACACTGAGCGACATGAAAATTGCGCGACTTTGAGCGATATTGCGCGACGAGCGATATTGAGCGACATCGCGCGACTTCTTCCTATTGGGCTGTATGCAATCAGGAGCAATATCGCTCAAAATCGCTCGAAAAAAGGGTCATGTAGGAGCGACAAGCTACCAACGACGAGCTACAAGCGATATTGAGCGATATTGAGCGACGAGATGTGAACAGCTCCATTGAAATGTATTGGTGAAGCTACATAGAGCGATATCGCGCGGAAATATGAGCGATATCGCTGCAAAAATCGCTCGATAAATCGCTCAATGTGAACGGGGCCTAAAAATAACATGCTGGGAGGTGGAGCAAAAAAGAGAGCAGAGGTCATGTGCAATAAAAGGAGGTAAAAATAAAGTGGCAACTTGCATGTTGTACCTGCACATATTAGACCATAGAAGGATAGTCCAGTAGCACCCCACATGCCATGGCCAGTGATGGGGCTGAGAAGATGTACATGTGGTTCTCACTTCTGTAAGACCCACTCCAAAGGTCTGAAGAATAGTGGCTTAATAAAGAGGAATCCCTTGAAATGCATTGCCTTTCCTCTCAGTCCCGCCTCCAGACATAGCCTGCACCTCTTCTTCCGAAAGTTGCTATCAGGAGAGTGTGAACGTCGCTGTTCTTCAGATCTCCAGAGCAGATCCTGTCTACAGAAGTGACAGCCATAACTACATCTTCTTAGCCCCACCACTGGCCATGGCATATGGGCTGTTCCTACTCTATCCTTTTGGCTTGATATGTACTGAAATAGTCCACGAGATCATTTTTGATGAGCATATGCTCAGATAAATTGTAAAAGCAGCACAGTGTCGTAGTCGTGAGCACTTCTGCCTTGCAGCACTGGGGGTCCCTGGTTCGAATCCCGGCCAGGTCACTATCTGCAAAGAGTTTGCGTGGGTTTCCTCCGGGTACTCCGGCTTCCTTCCACACCCACATGCTGGTAGGTTAATTGGCTCCCGTCTAAATTGGCCCTCTATGTATGCATGTGAGATAGGGACCTTAGATTGTAAGCTCCTTGAGGGTAGGGAATGATGTGAATGTGCAACTTTATAAAGTGCTGTGTAAAATGTCAGCGCTATATAAATACCTGTAATAAATGAAATAAAAGTTTTTTGTTTTAATGGGCTTCGGGTTTTTTTTTGTAAATTCAAAAAGAGGCAGCGAGTAAGCAGCCAATCACTCTATGCAATCAACAGCATTCTAGCAACCAGTGATTATGTGAAAATCAAGGGATGAACAGGCACCAAGGATGGAGTGTCCAGTATGGACACTTCATCTTCAATGCCGTCACCCATGTGCTTCTATGCGACAAATTAATGGACATGTTTCAGATAGGAGCATGGAGCATGAATCTGTCGCTAGTTGCAACATTTGTTGCACTAGTTTTAGGTAGTTTTCTATGATACTCATTAGGAATTCTAGGGATCGATTCCCCGTTTATATAATTATATAGATAATATGTGTAGTGAAGAGGATATATGCGCTGCCATTGAATTCTGCTCAATTATTATTTAAAAAATATTTGGCTTGACTGCATATTGGTTCTAGATGAGTAATTCAGAAACTTAAGCAAGTCAGCTTATTAGCATTTTCAGAGGCAGGTTAGCAGTTCGAGCCGATTGTAATTTTTTTTTTTTTCTTTTCAGTACAGGTTTTTGAAAAAATAAAATTTTGCATTGGGTATCTTTTAAGTGTAAGGGGTTTGGCATGTTTGTTAAGGACACAAGAACTGCAAGAGTCATTTGCAATCAATACTGCTGTATTTACTTTCCAGACTCCAGACAGAACGGTTCAGGGAGTGCGCAGAGCTCTCCAGATTTTTCAGGAACACGCTTGAGACCAGTAAGTGGAATCCTGCAGAATAACGCCAAGCTAAGCTGATTTATTTAGTTTTCTGTAGTTTCATCTGTCTTTAAATCCAACCCTTCTATCTTTCTTGCTTTACAGGTAAAACTAACTGTTCCAAGAAAAAAATAAGAATTCTTATTGTGCCTCTAAAGGCAATACTTTTTATGAGATTGTGCAAAGGATTGAACGTCTGTCAGGTGTTTTATATTGGCTGTGTCTGCATTGGGGCAAATCACTCTGTTTTTCCTGGTGACCATTATCAGTGGCGTAGAAAGTGATGGCAAATCCAAAATATTACAATTGCCACCAGGAATAAAGCGGAAATCATCCATGGGGACACTTGTTCTGGGACAACTGAGGAGTCTATTTTGTAGAGATTCTCTTCCTGCAAATCCATTTATTGATGTCAGTCATCACTCAGAGTGCCATCAAGCGCCCTCGGGGCCACGCAGGGTCCCCCCCATCAGGCTCAGAGTAAACAGGAGCCTGATGGGGGGGACCCTGCGTGGCTCCGAGGGCGACTGATGACACTCTGAGTGATGACTGACATCAATAAATGGATTTGCACTGACATCTTAAGTCTCTGTCTTGCTGGTGACGTTTCTACACAAGATTCTGCTGAATGCGGCGCCATCCGTGGTCATTGCTAGCACCCACAAATATGTATGGGAGTTCCGGTAAGGAGTGCTACAGGTCCTTGGACGATAGAAAAAAACAATCTGACCTGGGGTTATAACTGTCCCCTACTCTATCCAAAACTTAAAGCAAGTTTTGCCTTTAGATGGACTTTGTATTTGCTGCTTTCACTTGAACACGAAAGGCCCCATAAACAAACTGGGAGAATGAGGCAGTGGGGCTTTGATTTTTGGAGTGGCTCGGCTCTGACTTCAGTATAAATGAAGGCTCAGTTTACAGTGTGGAGCCAGTATCCATGGGTTCCCCAGACACACAGGAATTGGTTTGAATTTGCTTACATGTACCACAAAATACATATAGGGCAAGGTAGCATCTATAGGGAAATATTGACCACTTATATAGATATATACGATGTATTGTCCCATACATCTAATTCTGTAACTACCTATCTGAGAATTCGACTATAGTATAAAATTACTTTTTATTTTACATGTATATAATCCCACCATAATATTTATATCAGCTGAACAAAAATTCTTATTTGTAGCACTGACAAAGGGGTCCTTTGTACCCCTGAGTTTTGTTTGCTTTACCTTGGGACCTCACAATTAATAAACTGTTTCTGGGCTTGGGAAACTTTGTGGCGCTTCCATAATTTTTTTTTTTTTTTCCCTGAAGCTTCCATTCCAAAATAGGTGAAGGGCCTGCATGCATCCAGTATTCCGCAGGAATTCATATGAAGTTTAGCGTAGCTTGCATGCACCACAAGCACATGCAGTTCAACATTATATACAGAATAATTTGAATGCATCAGTTGTGATATCCGTTCTGCCCAGGGTCCCTCTTGATTCTTTTTTCTTTTCTGTTAACTTGCAGATGCGAGCAGCACCTCCGCCTCCAACAAAGGCTGCCGACACCCTACCAGCAGACCACTGACTGTGACTATATGGCTTGTGCCTTGCATGTCAATAATCTCAACAAGCCTTCTGCAATCTATGCAAATTGGATTGTGATGAGAGTTCTATGAAACAGATGTCAGCTTTTCAGTTTACCCACTTCTGAGACTTTGTGAAACCGGAAGACCTTATTTACCAAAGACAGTGAACATTTTCCTCCTGAAGACAGTATTCCACAGGACTTGACTAGAAGGTCATATTTGACTCCCTATGTGAAACTTCCTTTTTTTTTAATACCCTATCTTTGCACTTTTATTAGATTTCAAAAGAAATGTTCTCATGCTTTAAAATTATTTATGCATATTGTATTTTAAAGGCTTTAGAAGAAAATGTAAAAAATATTTATCATAATTAAAGTGCTGGGATATGGCAGTAGTTCTGTCTGACCTGTCACCAAGTTTAATTGTGTGTGGCCAGCCTTAGTGCTCATTCTTTCTTATTCATTTTGAACCTTTTGAAATAGTGCATTTCGTCTGTATTACAGATGAGACAAGTATTATTCTAGGGATTATGAATATAGATTGAATTTCTTCTTTATGTGTGAGATTAAATGATAACTCAAGGATGACTAAGCTTCTAGAAGGGCTTGGGGTGGCAGTGCAGCCAAGGAACGAATGCTATGTGTGCAGAGGAAAGGCTTATGGTGAGTATCTGAGACCACTGCATCACTGATATCAGACTGAAGAATGTTCATCAATGTACAGCCGAAAGCTTCTGTATGACCATTTAAACCGGTCCCAAATCCGGTTACTACATAATGCTCATAATAAACTATCTTGTTATAATTTCATCTTTGTAATAGGAATACATACTATAGTGGTTTTAGATAATGCAATCAAATGCATCAAAGCATATCTTTTAAGCGCCTGTGTTGTGGAAACAGCTTTCCCCCCCAAAGTCAGGTTCCTATCCTGACTTCGAGAATACAATGGTTTTGTAAAAAGCAATACAGATCAACGGAAAACCAAGGCCCAAAGGCAGGCATTGTTGGCTGTTGCACCACTACAACATTTACTGCTGTTAACCAGTTAAGGATTTTGACCATAAGTATGTGTGCTAAAAAACGTCAACAAAGCTTTTAGGACGCTTCTCATGTCCATCTCCTCTTCCCCCTGCTGCTGTTATTGCCAATTAGCAACTGTCGAAAAGACAGGTGATCGTTTTGATTCTGCAATTAATGTCCCTTTTTCAGGCACTTCCTGGTATAGAGTGACAACTATCTTCCAACTGTGCTGTGCTCCCACTATAAGTAACAAGCACCAACACACATTCAATAGTTATGGTCCTCTGTTGTAACCATCAGGAAGCTAGTACAGAACAAGAATTTGCAGCCAATGTTGGAGAAAATTCATGGATATGAAGTGGATGAAAAAGGTTGTAGAAGATGAGCTGGGATGCAAATAAGGAAGAAAAACAGCTGGAAACAGTATTTTATTGGAACAAAAATGTAAGAAAAATGCTCTAAATGTCGACTGCTTAGGGTCTAGATCTACTTAAGGCGTATTGCTTTTCCACAGTTTTACTGATGTTGCCCTTCTTTGGCAGAAGTAACTGCCTTCTCTGCTAAATATTGTATTACAAATTATTCACATTTAGGAACACAGGATACACAAAGTCACAAGCTGGATTGCATTAGCTAGAATCTTCTTATCCCCCATACAGCATTGTGTATTTTAGCAGTAATCCAGACACGCATTGTATAATGGGAATATTGCTGAGAAATCAATGGTGTGCCTAGGCTGCATTTTGTATGGAAAAATGTGGCCCAGTTGTGAACTTCACCTCCTGATGCTCAGGCCGCTGTATGACATCTGTTCCTAATTAAATCCAATATCCAGGAATAGCCCCCTACCAAACTAGAACTGCACTGTACTAACAAAACCGTCATCACATACTACAGGACCTGCATTATCCTTCCCAAGAGCACATTTAAGACTCTGAAGATTGGTGCTGCATGATCACAATCCAATTAGAAAACTAAAAGCAACCTGTCTGCAGAGAAATAGGACGGCTCTCAGTGCTGCTCACCTGACTGACTGTCACGCTGAACAAGTTTTCAGATTTTACTTTCCTTTTCTGCATACTTGTTTCAGGTCAGTGACTGACCAAAGTAAAGATGGTTACTAGACTCACAGGAAGTGCCAAGTAAAGATGGCTGCTAGACTCACAGAAAGTGCCAATAAAGTCACATTTGATGTTACAGCACTTCCTGTGTAAAGATCGTGTAAAATGTTTGTCTTGCATTATCCTGCTACAGAGCGGTCTTATTGAGTGCTATATAGGAGGATTGTAAGCTGAGTAGATGATTTGATTCAGTGGCTTTGCTTAGTGCTGACCCTTAACTGTTATCGATGGCATTAAAGTGACACTAAACTCAGGAGTTAAATCCTAAAATTGCATTTAAGTACCTTCGCTGTTAACAAAACTGTAGCTTATTTATGCATCACCGACTGTAGATCCTCAAATCCTCTCTGAATTTGTGCTGACCCTGTCTGGAGGGGGGCTACTTCTGTTCCCCGTGGTCCCTGTGTGTGTTGTAAAGTAGCCACCGCTCCAAGCTCACTCCAGTGATGGACTACAATCTTAATACAAATGAGTAAACTAAATGTGAGATTGTAGTCACAGGAATGAGCTTGGAGTTTTAGCTACTTTACAACACTCACAGGGACCATTGGGAGCAAAAGTAGCCACCCTCCAGAAGGAAGGACAGTGTCAGCACCAATTCAGAGATGATTTGAGGATCTACAGCTGAGTGATACACAAATAAGTTAAATTTTTGTTAATAGTTAAAGGTGAACTATGGGGTGAGTGAATTATACATTAAAGCTGTCACATGTCAGTCCTACTGAAGTGAGTGAAAACATACCGCCGCTCGCACACTTCCCGGTCATCTAACTGCAGAGATTACCACCCCCCCCTCTCCGATCCTCTGGCGCTGACTGGAGGGATGGACAGGGATGGGGTGGCCATAGCTGGCTTTGCCTCTGACAGCAGGCTCTGCCTATTTAATCAGCCAGCTGGGTGGATCTCGACAGTAAAACTCTTGCATATTTTTCAAGCAAAGCAACATGCCTACTGCTTTGCTTGCTTCAGAACTCTAAAGCATGCAAAACGCCATTTTAAAACACTCTGGACTCTAAAGAACTGGGAGGAGCAGGAAGACAACAGTCACATGACTTTGAAAGGTGGTATGATTGGGCTGTCCCCCTATCATGGAGTTTTCTTTGCAGTATAATGCAAACACTCTGATCAACACTGCAGGCTCCACGCTGTGCTTTGCATTTTTGTAATATAATGGCGGTGTCCTATTGATGGAGGTATCTGATCTCCGTTCTAAATGGCCCCTTTTGTGTTATTAGGGGATATTACATGTTAGGAGGTGCTTTAGTAGTCAACGTGCTTGTGCATGTAAACCCAAAAATCTATTTTTTTTAGTGTATTTGGCATCAAAAATCATTGTGAACTGTTTTCTAAAGCAGATAGGTTTTTTTGTGATTATTTGGCAAAGTTTCTTACCTGAATCCTCTCAGTAACAGGACTTCCTGCTTCAGGCTCAAAACACCAAGCTTCTGCCTTGCAGCAGCGATATCATCCTGCTGTGTGCGCTCCTTCTCTTGGTCGTCTATCAGGTCTCCAGGATGTATGCATAGACCTTTATAAGCAGCCAAAAGAAGGGGGCGCACACACCAGGATGACAATCCTGTTTCTAACTGAAAGGCAGCAGCTTAGCATTGACAGTCCAAAACAGTGGCTAGCACTTCTGCCTTGCAGAACTGGTGGCTCCCAGTCGGGACACTATTTGAATGTTCTCTCCTTGTGCTAATGTGGGCACAATTAGCACAAGGAGACTGATGCGAATGTGTGCAGTAGGTAAAGCACTGTGTAACTTGGTGGGGCTATATACTGTAAATACCACTAATAAATAAAAGGGAATAGGGAATGCTGTTACTGCCAGCATCTCTAGGTAAGAAGCTTTGCAACAGATTCACAATAAATATAAAGAAAACTGTAAATAGTAAGCCAGGTCCCCAAATATGCTGAAAATAGATTTAGGGTTTACATACACTTAATCTTTTCTAATTATTGGAGATGTAGAGTTTGTCCTCCACTGCTGCAAACCTCATGCAGAAAAAAAATAAATCATACGTCTCTGGTCCTATACTCGGCACTATTGTTTGGAGATGTTCACCCTAGCTGCAGGTATGCTAGTATTTTTTGGCAATGAAAGTGTATTGGAAAATGTCAGTGCTTCCATCAAATTTATAAAGGAAGTATTTCACAAATGACATCTGCTCTCAAACAAGGCCGTCTGGAACAGAGTGAACTTCTTAGGATGCCAAAGAATGTCTCGGGACATATCGCAGAGAGAGCTTGACGTGCATTGAGTGTATTAATGACAGTTATTGAAGTTACAACAGGTACAGTGTAACAAAAAAAGCTGAATGCCTGACGGCCACTGATCCCTAAGCAAAGCTATTGTGCTACTAACCTTATTCTCCCATGTGGTATAATGTTAGTAGCACATCATTAAACACCTGTCCTGCCCAATGCACTACTGAGCCCTACAAAGCCACACATTGTGAGGAAACCTTACACAACAACGGTATATGAGTTGGAGCAGCTGGATCCTAAAAAAAGCGAGCCTATAGACAAAGTGTCACTAAACTCTCCTGATGTGAATAACTAAATGTGCCGAGCTACAACAATGATCAGATATAAAGAGTATTAAAAAAAAAAAAGAGTATAAAAAAACTCTCCTGAAAGTATGCATACAGACTACAATATTACGCCACTGCCAATTATTAAAATGTGTCATTAATTACACAATGTGTTTGTGATATAATGCTCGTCTCTGTGCGCCCCAAAGGCAGACTCCTCACTTCAGGTTGGTTGGGCTGAGCCGTGCGCGTATATTGAGATCATGTGCACCCCAAACAACAAACCCCAACTTAGTAGGATGTTCACAGAACGTGGTTGGGCTCTCTTTGGTTGGCACCTGGAGTTCCAGAGGAGGCAGGTTTTGAGCAGTGATATCACACTACAGGTTCCAACTGTACTTGTGCCTGCCACGTCTTTGACGAATGTTGGGGGTGGTGCTGGGTGGGCAGAGATTTTATTAATGGTCATTTTGCATGCCAGCATTTGGTGTGTAAGCACAAATCAATATAGACCAGGGGTAGGCGGCTTTGTCATTCCTACTGTGGTGAAACTAAAAATCCCATCATGCCTTTGTCTCTGGGATGCCTGTGGCTGTCAGAGTCTTGCAATAGCTCATGGGACTTGAAGTTCCTCAACTGCAGTGTCGTGGTTGCCTACCTTTGATGTAGACTATCTCAGGAGCGTGCAGTGGGGGGTGGCTATGCTTCTACATACAGTGGGACCATGTAGAATGAATGTAGCCCTCACCTGGGAAGTCTGAGCTGATGTGCTGTGGGACACTGACATTAGGGGA